GTATAAAAGTTAATTTAGAAAATATATAAAAAAATTCATAAATAATTTAATTTTCACTGCATTTCCTGACAGAGAATTTTTGATAATGCAGGAGTTATTATATAAATTCCAACACAATAATCTATATTTTCCTATTTCACGACTTTTATAAAATTGACAATTTAATCTATGTATTATTTTATTATTTCACATTTAAACTTTACATTTAAATGCCAGTGCTTAATATAGGTGAGAACAGTGGAAATCAATTTCGTCGTCTATAGACGAGTCAATTTCTATAGCAAAGGGGTAGGTGGAGCGGAGCTCTCTTTCATGTAGCACCATTTAGAACAGTCTCTCTCAATATATTCCGTGCAATTAGATAGATGAGAGGCAACGTTACACCCATACGATACGAAATATCACCGTTTAGAAACTCTTCCGTCAAAGGGTGTTAAAGTGTCGTGGTTGAGACCGGCGCTTTGACTTTTAACGGTAGAATCGTAGAATGATCGTATACTTCAAATATAATTACCGGACACAGAATCGGCTGACAATTAAAGCAATTTTTTCTTTCCTTTATAAAGGCAATAACTATTATAAAGGAAATTATTATAAAGCTGATAACATCACGATTAAAAATTATCATTTTTATGGTATATTTATGTTTTATGAAATACATTTAATATGCATGTATAAAATTGCGATCACTGAGCATTTCTAACTTCTCTATTTTATATTTGAGTTTAACGATTAATTTAAAAATATCTGATTGAATATACATTTCAGATATAGAAAGGTCATAAAAATTGGACTCTGTTGCACTTGAATCTATAAGATTATGACCGTGTGCGTTGAATTCGTTACGTGCTCGATTTAATAGAATAGATGCAATAGATGTGCATCTATAAAGTGCGTCGTTTATTGCTCATGTTAAAAAGGTTAACGCGTGTGAACTGACAAACACGATGTCGGCACGCGTGTCACCTCGTCTTGTCAAACATCAATTACGTGTTCAAACAAGCTGCCCGAGGGATGGTGCTTGACCGGCAAACATTAAATACATGCATTACCCTGAGACACGCTGACACAATGACCGACACTTCCGCTGCCCCTCAACTTTGTTGGTGCTGGTGCAGATTACATGACAAGTTAAAGAAAATAAACGCAAAAATATTTGTATTTAACGTTCGACTATTACTGTGAGATCGCTTTGAATGTAGATATCTTTCTGAAATAACGCACGCTCAAGAATCAATTTCCAACTAACTGTTCTAATTTTTTAGGGTACAATAAGTAATAAAGGCAAAATAAGATTCTGATTGAAACAATTTTGTCATTAATATAAAATATAATGATTTTTACATCATAGATATCAGATAGTGATCAAGTGTTAATGTTAGCCATCAACTATATAAGTTCTCTCTTTGTCTTCTCTTCTATCTATTAATAATTAATATTAGACAGATGAATTTGGAAAAGTGTTCACGACCAACAATCAACATTCGCCAATACTTATCCAAATCTATTCCGTCCTTTCCAACCCAATAATTATTCAAAACTTATTGTACAATACAGTTGTTGATAATGTATTACTTTCGTCCTGTCCAACTCAACATCTCATTTCTCAAGAATTGTTCTGTGCTAGGTTCAATTACCGTACATTAAGTTTAATAATCAAGTTTCGCCGTCTCCAACTCGACATTCCATTACTGGAGAATTATCGTGCAGCTAAAATACGGCGTACCGTGAGTTTCAGCGAAGTCGACGGTTTTAATTCCCGAGAAGCTTTTGTACCGCGCGAAATTTGTGCCTCGCGCTTCGCATCGAAATTCCGTCGCGCGCGAGAGCGAGAGCGAGAACGAGGGCCGAAATTTCGCGGAGAATTCAGCTCCTTTGTCGGCCACGTCTGTATCTAGCGAGAATTATAGCCGGGTTAGGTATAGGTACGCGGCACGAAATGGCCCGACTTAAAATCTAAGTAGCCGTGCATCCCCCGGAGCGGGCCGCAGATAGGGGAAGATAGAGAAAGCCCGGTGGCCGTAGAGGGTTGCCCGGGATGGCGAAACGCAGGGAGAGAACCGCGGGGCAGCGGTGGGTGAGTGAGAAGGGAGCTGGCGGGATGGGGGGAGGGTGGAAAGGGTGGGATGCTGGGATGCCGAGGGGAGCATCCGGGATCTCGGAGGGTACGTGGGGCGGTCGGTCGTCATGGATACGCTCCCGGCTAACCCTGTAACCGCTCCTCCCTCGTCATTCTACATTTTCGCAACTACCCGCCGCCATCATCGACCCACCATCTTGTCTCGAACCCTACGAGTCCCGTCAAAATTTTGAGACGATCCCTTGAGACAGACGTGACTAAAGATTTCCCTTATACTGAGTGACCGTGCAAGAAAACAGGGTGACGTATAACGTTTGAATAGAGTCCTATCGTGGGATGATTGTCGCGATATCTGAGAAAGATAGAAAAAGTCAAGAAATTTTTAGGAGTCGTGACGATGAGAGTAAAATGTATCCCATGTGTCCGATCCACAGAGTAATTCGTCTTGTAAATAATTTCTCGATATTATAAATCGTAACATATGTATGTGATGTGTTAACATATGTTATGTATATTTATCTTAGATTTACAGTTTTTATTTAATCTATGTTATATGTAATAAGAGAGACCGGTTCATTTAAGAAAATATTGAAACCTACGAAAACCTGATTATTTAGGATTGATTTCGCTAATGACGGAATTTTTTATTCTCTGTTTTTGATTAAGAGAAAAACAGTATAAATTAAAGAATTAATTAGTAAAACTGACATATAACGATTTCATCAGTTCAGCGTTCTGCGAATTAGTATTAGTATAAATATCAATTTTTAATCGCAATCAAATTGTCAACTGAAAGAATTTCGCGGGTATCATTTTTTACAAATTAACGGACATCGCTTCATGACTACGGTGGACCACGTATAGTGCGACTGTATTGAATAATATAACGTTATCTCAGTCGGTTATTTCAGTGACCTTGTTGGCGCGAGATGAATTAATTAGCAGCGAAAAACGTGTTACGGGAGCAAAAAACCGAGCGGCGCGGCGTGACCCAGCGTTCCCGATCGGGATTCGCGCGCGAATCCCGATCCAGGAGGCGGGAGATCGATCGATCTCTGCCTAGGTGAATGCGGGCGACCGCGTCGCGCCGTTAAACGCAGCCACCGGGCGAGACGAAAGTTTCGGGCGAGTCGCCGATAAATTTCGGGGACGGCGAGCAGGATATTGCTGCGGCCGTGGAGAGTAGTCGACGGGCGTTTTGCTCGGGCTGGCAGCGATGCAACACCATCACATCGTGCAACACGACCCCCGCCGTATTCGAACACCTCCCCGAACCTCTCCGCCCGCCGTTTCCTCGTCCACCTCATCCTCCTCATCCTCCTCCACCACCTCCTCTTCCTCCTCTTCCTCCGTCGTTCTCCCCTTCCGTTCCGCCGTCTCCTCGCGGCCCTCGCGGGCGTGGGCGGTAGATAACGTGATTTACACTGGTCGGGTAATTAATGTCCTCGGCGACCGGCGCTTTAAAAAAGCAATCGGAAATCGGCGACAACGAAGAGCAACAGTCAGCCCGCCGCCCGCCGGCTGCTGCTACTGCCGGATGACAAATTATCGCGCGCAAGACCGTTACCCCGGTTTTTTTTTCGCGTTTTTCTTGGCACGGGAGGGCATCGCAGTGTGACGCTCATCTTTACCGGTTCTTAATGATTTCGGAAAGAGATACCGGCATCGTTATCAAAGGCGAGACGCCACGTTGCATTCTACCACGTTTTCAATATAAATTTGACACTGCTTGAAAAAAGTGGCGAATCAATTAACTCGGCAATTTTATATTATAGATTAGATTTTGTTATGCATAGGCTTCGGGCGACAGAACGGTGGCCTTTGTTAGCACAAGCAAAAATTAAAATGCAGCAATTCTTCGGTGTACACATGATGAACACTGCGGTTTTATGATAACTGAATAATAATATTCTTTTTTCTTTATCAAAGAAGGAAAAAAATGTTTGTGAAAATGTGTAAAGTTTATCGTTGCTTTATCAATGATCTTTCTTACAGTTTTGCATTCCTTTTTACAAAGAAAGAGTTGACAATTATGTTGAAAAATAATTACGTGTGAAATTTAGATATATGTATATCACACAATTATGACACGATATGAATAGGCGGACCCTTAAACCATGTTCGCGACTCAGCGAAATCTTAGCGTCGTGTGCTGCTTATCATTGTGGGAAAATAGCGAGGGCTTTTGCTCTCATTAACCGCATTACGTCATCACGACGTACATTAAAACCGATCGATGGTATCTCCGCGGCACTTATGCGGGATAAACTTGCGCGTAATCAGGTTGCGTGTCTTTCCGCACGTACGTGCGTGACTTTACGCTCGGCGTTACGGCAACTATTTCGCATCGCCACGCATTGAGTTACACTTTCGTGCATATCTCACACCCGCCTGCTTCCCGTTTCGCGAAGAAACGTATCATGCCTTGTTATTAATGTTTTCACTAGTCGACGAGCTTTTGTATAAAAAGGACTGAGCGCCCTTCATTGACAAATCTGGAAATAAACCAGCTTCTGATTTTCTAGAAAAATTAACAAAAAGATAGAGAAAATAGTAACATTAGATGCCACTATCATAATTTAACGTAGCAGAAATAATGCATGAGTATAAATGAACGGACGCATTTAGTCAAGATGTATACTTGATGAATTCTTCAACTCTGAAGACAGTAAAACACATTTTGAACATATTTTTTACAGAAAAAATTATCCCTTTTTGATTGAACTTGTTATACTTACTATATAAAAACCCATCACTTATCCTCTATACTTAAGTTTGTCTTATATAAATGTTTCCAAAGCATGAAAACTCAGACCAAAGTTGGATCTTAGTTCCTTTTATACAAAAGCCGTTTAACTGTGTTTCCTGATGTGAGAAAGAGTCGAGATCCCGTAGAAAAAATAAGAGATGCCTCGCTTACCGGTGATGGAAGCGGTGGGCGAAATGGCGGACGGGTTGGCGCGCGGAGGCGGCGAAAACGCACCCGCCAGGTAACCGCTGCGATCGGCGAGGGCCTGCTTCGCCTTGTCGACGCTTTCCTTAAGTCGTTGAAAGGTGCTGCCGCAGGTGAGGCCGCGGTACGGCCAGTTCTCCTGCTTGACGCCGGCCGCGGTTACACCGGCGGCGGCCGCGGCCGCGGCTCCGGCCCCGGAGGCTCCCTTTAATTCGAGCGCACCTGCGTACGAACAGCTAGCGCTGTCGTACATCACCAAAGAGCCCCTGCAATTCAAGATTGTTTTCTGTGAACGATAGAGAGAGAGAGCCGCCAATTATCGAGAACAACCTGTCATATAGAAGTAGACTACAATTGGTAATATAAACTACCTTCAACTCAATAACAAGTCCTTACATGGTGCGCAACTACAATCTCTTTTATTTTATCATTTTTCAGGAACACTCTTGTGTTCGAAAGACACAAAGAAATTTGAAAATTTTGTTTCTTTTTTTTCGCTCATTGATTCTACATATTAGGCAGCTACATATTAGGAAGAAGTCTCAATGAGGAACATCTGGTACGTCGACGTTGACTCCGTTTCGTTCAATTGAGTACTTCCTGCTGAATATTAACATTGCAACTCTCAGAAATGAAGTTCACGTCGCTATACATATCAGCTAATAGTAGCTGCATCGGTAATAAGCTAGCATTAGCTAGCATTTATTAACGCGAATTTTTTTAAAGTTGAAGAGAAAGTTAATCTTGTTACTCATGTGAGTTTCGTCCGCGTTATTAAATTCTTTTTTTTTTTAATCTATTAAAATGGACATGGCTAAAATGCAATGTAGGGTCGATGCAAGCAAGCAAGCCTACATTACTTTAGGCTGATAGCACTTATGCTCATGCAGATACCGCAGTTGGGATCATTAAAGGACCCTTGAAACATCCGGTAAAGGCATGATCGAATTAAAATAGATGAGCATATTATATGCACAAATATTTCTCATTTTACAATCTCCTAATGAGTGTCTTTTAGTTATTGCTACAATCTCTTTACAATTTTTTTCTCGATGTTTTTTTCTTTGTTAACTTGTTATATTTTATTACTTTACTTGTATGATTTTATGAACGGTTTGAATTTTTAACTTGGAACGATGTTTTTTAATATTAGTCGATTACATTAGGACGGTTGCCTCTCCTAACTACTGCTCGTAAGAGATAAGATAAAGGTTCTATTATACAAACAATTTTTTTGATGTTTTTATCGTTGGGTCATTTATGATGTACGCGTGTTCCCGGGGTTAACCGGTCAAAATAACACTTAATAGGCAGGTATATACGTCTACCTTCGGTTGCAGCTGGCCATGAATCAACCAAAGCTGCACACCATCAGGAAAGCGTTATTACATTAGCATTCTTATTCATCATTTTAGGTGCGATATCTGTTAGTGGAGAATAAAAGGTCACGTCAAATGCACTATTAATCTACAAGAATTAGTGTTTCATAAATGCTTAGTTTAAACTATCTTCTTTACCTAATCGTAGGTGCTATATTTCGTTTGAATTAATAAACATAGGTATTCTACCAGAAATTGGTTTACAAAATTATTCGTGTAAAATTTAGTTTACAAATTGAAATGCAAATAGGAAATGTTCTCTTTATATGTTTTATTTTGATTTTGTATTTTGATTCAACATATTTACTAGATCTTTGTATATAATTAGATTAAGTGCGACGCTTAGCACTTCTTTATCGCTTTCTTCGCAACGCTTCGGCGAAGAGAGAGACACAAATACATTCGGAAGATATCGAACTATCATGCATGTATAACAACGGAGCGCTCCTAATCGAAGTCGCGTAATCTAGAAAACACGCCTCTATCATCTACATTTCATCGGGGATGCGGCCTCGAACTTACGGTCATCAAAATTGCGAAAGTAATCCACGATCGAATTTGCATGAGGCCCGTTGTGATCGTATCTCCGGGCAATTCCGCAACGCGGAGAGCGCGGAGATAAGAGGCCACCTATAATATTGAAGCTTGTCGTTTATCGCGAGTCCGCTTCCGTCTAATCTTGAAAATCTGCCGCTTCCGCTATCCCTTCCCGTATTACATAAATCATTATATTCATTATGCAAACGAAATGATGCCGCGCAATGCTGCCGATCCACGTGTGACTCGCTCAAACACGTGAAACTCTTATCGTGCTCTATTTTTTAAGTCAGAGAAAATGTGTAGATAAGAAAATTATCATGTGAGCTGATATTAATACATGGATTACGCAGATATTTATTTCCAGCTGTCTACAACGTACTTGGACATGAACTATTGACCTGCTTTCTATTTGACCTTAATTATTAATAGAAAACTAAACAACTATATTCATTTCTAAAGTTATCATTTTCTCATTAAAATCGATAGATCAATTTATAATATTTATATATATGTATTGCATAAAAAGTATTCAAATATTGAGATTAATTCAATATTCAGACTCGTTTCCGTTCTTTCATACTCATAATTTAAATCTTTTTAAAATATATTTTGGATTATATATTTTTAATAATTTTAAATATACATACACGTAAATATTGTAAAATTTTACTTGAGAAATTTTACAATAACTGATTTTGTGTTTATGTTGTTTTATAAAATCAAATCCTGTCAATTTTTATTGGCAGCATATGTTGGATGTTAGAGATTATCAAATCCTTTTAATAAGTGTTATCTTAATTAATCGTAAATAATCAACTTTTTTTCTATTTCGATTGTTTTCCGTTTACCTTCGATCACCGTGACAATTTTCGCGATGGACCTGTAAACGTTTCACTGTTGCTGCGCTGATCGTTCAAACGTCACTTTTTTCTGGATCATCCACCAGAATAGTCCGAAAGGCGAGATACAGCTTTTTTCGATCATGTCGAGTCACTTGTTATCGCGAGACATTCGTTGACATTCGATCAGAATGGTTAAGGATAAAAGCACTCTCGTGAGTACGTCCGGATGTCCAGCGCGTATTGAGGTCAATCTAATCACAAAACTGTCACATAGTCACGCTGTTCCGCGGCACGATGAGCGCGCAGCCGGATTGTCTTTGCGGTTCTGTCTGGTGACAGTTTAAAAGCCGAATCGAGCGATCGATCGTCGGAGATATCACAGTTCGTAGACTGCTCGGGTAGTCGCCATTTTTACGCTATCGAGAATTTGTTTCGTTTACTAAACAATGCGTCGTTTTCAATCGGTTTCAGTTCTAATCCTTTTTATTATATAACTATTGAATTTTTTACTATTTATCGTTACTACTGCCGCAAATATTTCGAGCTTTAATTTATCGTAATTGTAAAAGTAATATGGCACGAAATGGAAATATTTACCGAATATACTTGTTGACTTTGATTTTAGATTATTTCTCATTTTTCAGTTTAAAATAGAATCAAGCGGACGTGTAAATTGAGAAAAATATTCATCACTCGCGTCGTTCTCTTCGATGATTCTTAGCGTTATAGTCACCAGAACCGTAATCTTGATGAATTATAAATTTCGATACTGTAGCTTCAGAAAACTGTACCTTACGCCAATTGTGCAACATCCATTGTCGTGTATAACTCGCACTCATTATATCGAACAAAACAACGTTGTGCCAGCGGTCCGCGCGTTCATCATACGAGATAATTACGTTCTCCTCGACGCGCGTTGACGATTTCCCTTCACACGCACTCGCGCGCGATCGCGACCGCGCAGTAGTTTTCCCTATTCGCGGTTTTTCACGATATCACTTTCCGCGGGCTTATCGGTCACGTATCCGATACGGAGCAGGCTGGACCGCGGTATCAAGAAGAAGGTACTCCGGGCAGGTTGTCTCGCGCAACTGTGGCCGCCGCGGGCAGCAAATTGCCTGCTTCCGGGCCTCATTACATCACTCTGTTACTCTGTTAACGGCTCGCCGGAAACCCCTCTGCCTACCTCGTCTAAACTCTCGTCTCGCATATATATATATTGTACATATATATATATATATCTACACACACATATCATTTAAACGCATCGTCGCGGACACGACACAGGCGCGCGATTGCACGCGAGAGGGAGAAAAACCCGCCCGAGACCGGGAAAACGCCTTCCGATGCCGTGTGAGAACCGCGTCGCGACGCTTTATTTCCCGTCGATAAATTAAAAATCAGTTATAGGAAATGATCATGTCGTAAGACGAAGCGGAATAGAGCACGATGCAAGTTTCAAAATTAAGAATCGTGAGAAATAAGAAACAATAATTTTTTTTAGAAATATTTTACGTGGTTAAACCAAATTGTAATTTTTTATGTGCAGTAAAACTGAAATTTGTAACGAGATGTACCGGTATCATTGAATGAATTAGCGCAAAGTAATTTTTTCAAAGAAGAGTCTTTCTGCATTGTAGTCTTTGAGAGCAAAAATAGGATATATAACTAAACACTAAAACTTTATATTTATATATTACAAAATTATTTTAATTATTCATATTTATATTTCTTTATATTGCATATTCATGTAAAAATAGAAGTAGGCGATAGAATTATTTTATTTTATAAATGAAGATGAGTCCAATAAGCTTAAACAAAATAATAATATTAAAGAATATATTTCTCGTGATGATGCAATGAAATTATTCATGCAAACGTTTTGCGAGCGTATAAATTATATCGAAACGTGTGATTTTTTCGGCGAAAATGTCCCAGTTATAAAGGATATGCGTTTAAAACCACGTTTTTCCTCGTATGCGGATGAAAAATTTGCTTCTCTCTAAAAGAAAAAAAGAAAAGAAATACATATAAAACGGTGATCGCGATGCGTAACGCGCTAAAGCAAGGGGACGACGCGACGTAGCGGCCGGTGGACACGCGCGGTAATTTCGCGTTGGTCAATGCGTGCGCCCGCCGTTTAGCCCGTAAAACGTGCATGGCGACAGACGCGGAGACGCGTCATGCGTAAGGCTCCGTGAACGGAATTATAGGGCTACGTCGCGCGACGCCAAAGCACTTCCGTTCGCGCGAATTGAATCTTCGGAATCCTTGCATCGGGCATCTACTAGATCCTAATTAATACGTTGAAATATTTTGTGTTTGTGAATGTATTTTTAATATTTTAATAATGTTTACATTATTTTCCGGGATTTTTTAAATCTTTGCTTACGATATCGCCATCAATATTTCCTTGTTTCCTTTAATTACTTTGTTGGAGTTACTACGGTTAAATGAAATTGTAGTCTTAACACGAGACAGAAAATAATTACAAAGCAAATATAAGATTATCATATCATATAAATCATGTTTAAATAATATTTATAAACCTCTTTCAATTAAAAGTTCCAGAAAATTAACATGATAAAAATGAAAGTTTTTAATATTTTTTATTGTATGTTTAACACAAATCTCATTTATGTTTTGAGAAACGTAAATGATGATTTATAATATAATTTTTATTATCTCAATTTAAGCAAGAATATAGCTTAAGGCTTAAAAGATTGAACGAGCAAAACGGTTTTTTCAATTTCTCTTTTATTGTATTTAAAGATCTGGCTTGTATTGTTTATGTTTTAAAAAGAGGATGCAAATTGAGTAGTTACTAATACATAAAATGGATTATTCATTTATTAGTGAATAATAAAAAAAAGATATACGAATCTATTACTTATCTTATCTTTATTATTTGGTACACCAAAAACTTCTATCAATGTATCAAATGGATGAAAACTTAATTAGCACGTCTGATCAATCAGTTGAACGACGAATCTGTAGATAAATACGAAATATCGAAGAAAGCGCTCGTAAAACCGCCATAAATCCGCGTGTAAAACAATGCAAAACGATCGCGGTCGCTCTCGGTGTTATCGATATTGTTCCATCGGCGAGAAGCACCGGTGCGACGGAAGCGCTCGGCCGACAATCTTCGGTTTCCTCTCGTCGGGGCGTTCTTTCTCCGAACTTCTCTCCAGCGCGTAAAACGTTCCCGATCCGAACCGCACCAAAACCGGAAGCATGAAACCGTCGCACACTTACCGTCAGTGCGGGGGTCCTACGTGGTATCTTGTCCAGCACTGTCAGATCCAGTTCGATCCCCGAGATATCTCCCACGATCTCGCCGACGATATATACTCGATGGACCGCGCGAGTCTCGCGTTTTATCCCCAAGATCTCTCCAAGATCCTCCGAATCGTCTTCACGTTCACTTTGAATGTTCACTGCGGCGTCCGTGCGGAAGTCCGGGAAAAATCAAGAGGGATCGTTGCGGAATCGACACTGAAAATCGCGACGGATGGGTGAACGAGTAACGCGCGGGGGAGAGTGGATACATGCACTCGTCGGAGCGTGGATGTCAGACCGGTGACTTGGTTCGATCGTTCGCTCGCTTGCAGGGATATCCCGAGAGTTTGTCAGCGCGCGTGGACCACCGTGGCGGACTCGGCCGCGGTACGACGGACGCACATTTGGCAGCGTCGTTATCAGTCGCGGTCCGACGATTGGCTGTATCGGAGCCTGCGCCGGTACGTCCTCCGCGGGGGGGAAAAAGCGAGCCGCGCGCGAGAGAGACGGCGTGACGGAGTGGTGAGGGTGGACGACGAGGGTGGAGAACGGAGAGGGAGAAGAGGACGCGCGGGGTAGATTCCCGCTCTCGCCCCCGGACACGGACTCTCCGACATGGAGCGGCTCCTTAGAGGCGGGATCATCCACCAGGCTGCTCCTTTCTCTCTCTCTCTCCCTCTCTCTCTCTCTCTCTCTCTCTCTCTCGCGCGCATACACTCACACACATGCACTCACACATTCTCTCTCTCTCTCCTCTCTCTCGATTTTCCATTGTCCCTCATCGTCTTTCTCCACCCTCGTTCTGCTACTGTCTCCTTCGGCCTCACCCCGCTTCGCGTTTGAGGAGCGTAGGTGGGAAACGCGGCGGAAGGCTTCCCGCGGAGCGTCATATGAGACGCGCGCGATATCCCACGGTGCTTTTATTATTATTGATGCCGTGGATACCGGCGTTAAGCGTGATAAGCGCCCGCGGAGACGAGCGAGAAATGGATTGACGCCGATCGCGCGGTGCGTTGTCGGGGCTGATCGCGCCGACACACCAAGCCTGGGTGGACTAGCCGCGCGAAAGCACCTCCTCCGCGCGGAAGGCGCTGAAAGGTAATAACAAAGTACACGTTCCTACACGTACCGCGATCCAGGTGCCGTCAGCGATTTTCCGTGAGCGACACGGATGTGCTTTTGAGGTAACAGCGGCGAGTTATTTTGAGAAAAAGGGATGGAAACGGGAGAGATTGACGGCGATGGAAATAAATCGACTCTTGCCGAGGTTTAGGCCGTAAATTAGGAGGCTGCTACTGAAAGAGAGGACTTCGTATTTTGTATGAAATTATTCCTCTTTCGATATAATTCGAACTCCCCCCCCCCCTTAAACTACATTAATCATAGATATCACATTTTTATGGTCTCTTTGTGTGTGAACTCTTGGTTCATATTTATTAAAGATATGATATTCTTTAATACGACGAAGAAAGAGACAAATGTGCGTTATTGCAGTATTTATATTAATAGTTGTAGAAAATTAAAATAATTTTGAGATGCATCTATTGTCAGGTAAATTAAATTTTTATCATAACAGCTCGTCGGTCGATACCATAAAGCAAATAAGTAAATAACAATTGTTTAATTTTGTACTTTGCTTTGACCAGAAAATCATTTAACATTTTTTCCATTCCTTCGTGGCTTATCACACAGGACTGAAAACAGCATATAAAAATGATGCACAACAGAGAAGTAAAAGACAAGCGAAAGAAAGAACGGAGGAAAGACTATTTATTGTATACTCTGAAACTAAAGAAGAATTTCAAAGAGAGAGTGGCAGGGAGACAAAATGGAGCTATGCCTAGAAGATCGTCATGACTGTTGGTCGATGACACGCTTGAAATGTCCAATTTGTTTGATTAATATATCAGAGATATCGCGTGATCTTCGTGCGAGATCGGTTCGCCGTGCGAATAGCGAGTCGTATCTGCTTGTACTGAAAATTATCTGATCCACGCGGTGGAGTAACAACGGGGGCGCGACAGGCCGGACACGTGCCTGGTATACGATTTTCAAAGGGCAGCCCGGGCATGGGGTAGCATATATTCATACGTATCGCGATAATAATGTATCGTTATCGCCGCCTTCGTTAACCAACTCGCGCGCCATCGGCAACGGCGCGGCAGCGGCGGCGGCGGCGGCAGCAGTGGCGACAAAATCAATGCTTTGATTTAATAGAATTCCGTTTCGTTATATCCCGCACATTGCATAAAATTCGCGACTCGTATAAATATACACGCGTGCGAGTGTCAAAAATTTTTACGCACTATGAGAAATCGACAATCGTCCGCTACGCGTTGATGCGATAAAAATAATGAAGTTAAATGTGAAGATGTTTGCTAAAAACAAAACAGAAAAAGGAAATACTGTCATCATGATGCAACGTTTAATTTTTGCTGATTCTAAAGGCGTCTTCCATTGGGAAAAACTCACTGGCACTTGTCAGTGTCTTAGTTTTTAAGTTTTTCAGAAACATGCTCACTAATTTTACCAATAAAATACGCTTCAAGCACTCAGTACTGCCAGTACCAGTGAGTTTTTCCCAATGAAAAACGCTATAAGCTATACTAAAATCTAAGCTATTCTTAGTTATAGTAAAATGAGGGTGAGCCATCAACGCTTTTATTTTTCTCGAATTTAAATCACACAAAAGTATATAGACTGAATTAATAATTACAAATTGATTGAAGCATAAATTGAAATGTAAGTGCTTTTTAACATGTCGAGTATTTTTAATTCTAACTATATAAAATAGATATATGCCCTAAAATTCTCCTTGTTTTATTTTAAACTTATGACATTTTAAACTTATGAATTTTGCGTTTAGTGATTCAACATTAATGTATAATACATAATCGATTACGTTTACAAAATATCTGTCATAGAAAACAATGATAAAATTTTCAGATTAGAATGCTATAAATAGTAAAAAAAATATTCTCACTAAATCTATTATTTAGTCTATTGATTATTTTTATTATTAGCCAATTGCGCTTTCATTTCCCTATTTATACTTCTATAAACTTCTATAAATTCGTAAAAAGTTGATTGTCAAATTGCAAGTTTTCTGATTTAATTTAATATTAGAATAAAGATTTATATTTATACGTTAAAGTTTGGTTCTATCGGTATTGTTTAAACGGTTCTATCGCAGATTACTTTTATATATATACTTCAGACACTCCTAACGACGGTCATCGCCGTTGTTCCGCTTCCTATGACCGCCATGAATAATGTCGTACCTCTTCGTTCATGCGTAAAGTTTCCGATCGTCGGACGAGAAGCGGTGTCAATCGTGCGAGAAACATCAATGCATTGTACGACTGATCGTGATCTGCGCGATCCGAAGCGCATTGTCATGTAAAAGTCCGATAGTTTTATTCTTCTGCAAACAACAACGTCCGAACCGCGCAAGCGAAACACTTTCAAATAGAAGAGAACTTTAATAAATTTTTTTTGTTATGTAATCGGTTTTTTTTTATAAATATCGGCTTTATAACTATATTCTCTGATATTGAGACTTTCTTTAATTGTGGGCTTTATATAATTATTATTTATAATTGCACTACATGCTAAAGAAATTTATTTTATAAAGTATTTCGCCTAATTTGTTCATGCTCAGTGACTTTGTTAGCTGTTAAAAAATATTATATGCCTTGAACCCAAAAACTTGTTTTTGAAGCAATCTTTTGCATATTTAACAGCAATGATGATATTTCAGATGATCAAATTAAGTAACATATTCTACATAATGTTTTTAAACGTTCATGACACTATTATTATATGTTTTTTTATGTTTTCTTACCTTTATAATAATATTTTCATTTTTTGACGTTAAATAGAATTGCACGAAGCAATCCTTCACCGTCCGTTGTAGAATGAAACATTTTTTCCGTAAAATATGATCGTGTGAAACTTTGTATCTCTAAACTCGGATGCGGTATATGTCGCGAAAAATATATTGTCCTTGGCGATGTCTTCACCAACGGTAACCGCTTATCACGCACGAGGTCCGCGTATAACCGCGAGGACGAGTCTATCGGCGTTTAGCCGGCTTTCGTGAATGTAAACTAGGCGTTTCCTGCACGTATCGTACAAAGTGCTCGATTCGCTGGTCTTTTTTCACCCAGGCCGATCGATAATGCCATTGCAAACACCCTGTATGTGCTCGGTTAATGTTAATGGCAGGGGCCGGCTCGGTCGAACGGGGTGGGTTGCCCCTTTGCCCGTGAGTTAGAGCTTCCTGAGGCTTTCCTCGCATCCACCGCTCTACCCCGTCCCATCCCGCTCAAGTCCTGCTTGGCTAATGGTAAGGGCAGGAAATATCAAAAGTCGTCTCCACGATTCTTCTTTTTACCGTATTCTCTCTCTCTCTCTCTCTCTCTCTCTCTCTCTCTCTCTCTCTCTCTCTTTCTTTTGTAATATAGCTGGATACCTTCACAACTTTGGTGACTTTTGAAAGATAGAATATGTAGTTTCAAAATGGCGAATACAAATTAAAAATGAGAAACAGAAACAATTGATAATTGTATCGTTGAGATTTATCTGTTATTATACTGGCCGAAAAAAATGCCTTTTTATCACAAACATTATTGTAACTTGTGCGAATTAAGTATAGGCAATGATTGAAGCTTGATGAGCTTATTATGTGTGAGCGAAAAAAACTGTATAATTTGAACCAAACGTAACCTTCGTAAATCTATATTAAAAGTAATATAACAAATATAAAGAAATATGTGATATACAAGTATAAGAGAAAGTCAACTTTGATTTATAGTTTAATATAATCTCTTTCTCATGTAAGAGAGAGAAAGAAAATTATTATAATAATAAATTACAGAGGAAAGAGAAAGAGAAAGTGAGAAAGGAAGAGAAGGGAGGGAAAAAAAGATATTATAAGTATAATTTTATACATTCAATTTAAATACTAGTAAAGACAAAAATTTGTAGAATATGCTGTCTTAAAGAAAAAATTAACTAATAATAAAAATTGTTAATTCTTTATATCCAAAGTGATTTCTTACATATAAGAAATATCTAGTTCGTTTGTAATAATTATTTTCGTAGCTACTATATAAGAAAAATTAATTGATAATAAAAGTAGATAAGTCTTTACATCCAAAGTGATTTCTTACATATAAGAAATATCTAGTTCGTTTGTAATAATCATTTTCGTAGCTACTATATAAGAAAAATATTGAATGTCAGAAACAGGACGGAAGCAATGACTCTCTATGGTGAACCTTAATATCGCGAACTCTTCCTGGGGAAGGTCACAAGGGGGTTAACACGCTTATCGTGCGCAAAACGCGTGATCGTCAAAATGATAAAAGAAAAAATGAATCTGATTCAGGAGAGCAAATG